CAGCCAGGAGCTGCTGGTCAGTAGGGCCTGGGACAGAAGCAGCACCTCAGCAGAACCAGTTCCTTTACCTGCGAGCTGAGCAGTTCCCTTCAGCCCTGATGGATGTGCTGCTGCCATCAGGCACTGTCCTCCTCAGAACAGGCTGTCCCCTTCCTTTAGTGACAAACACTGCCCCAGGGCACTAAGGTTGCCTCTTCCCCTTGTCCCCACAGCACCCCAATGTGTGTCACAGAGAACATGGAGCTAATCGATGCCTTGCCACAAAAAACATGCCTCTACAAGCAGATTTCAAGCTACACAAACCCTTTGCTGTGTCTCTGCAGGTAAATGTTCTAGTACAGCAGCTTTCCTCAAGGTCAAAGAGCTGCAGCCAAGATTCTGCCCTCTGAAGTGCAAGTGCTTTTTCAATCCTTGCTTTGGAACAGCAGCCATAGTGGGAGAAAAGCTGCTTTTGTACCAAGACCAAGTAATCAAAAAAACCTCATCCTCTGAGATGTCTTTTTTTCCAGAACTACAGAAAAGTGAGGCCTTTTAGGAGTTTATGCTACTTTCCAGCTCTTCCACCCCCCTGTATTTAACCTTTGTAACTTAAAACACAAAAAGTAGGGCAGTTTTGGAGTGCTGCCTTTAAGCCCTGACATCCTGCAGCCGCCAGCCCTGCCCGCCCGCTCGGCTGTGGGATGAACCAGCTCCCACCAGGAACAAACACGGGGCTGCCTCCATCCCTGAGCCAGGCAGAACAAGGGAGAGCTTCTCTGCTGTGCAGGGACTGCCTGGCTGGGACAGCTTTTCCCATGGCCTCTCTCCATCAGGATGGTGAAGCAGACACAAACATGACAGTGCCTCTAACAAAGGCAATTTACCACCTGGAGGAAAGCAAAGCCCATTTCAACATCAACATTGATATCTTGATCTGGCTCCTGTGAGAAATCTTCCAACACACATCCCTCTCAGTACTCTTCAAGTGGCAATCCAGCTGGCTCATCCCTCATCTGCAGGTACACTGACTACCACCCAGGTCCTGCCTTGAAGCAGGATGAGCTGAACACAGCTGCAGATTCATGCCTGGCATATCTACCAGAAGGGAGGAAGCACCACAGAAGCCTCTGAAGGGTCACAAGAAAAGGGACAGCACCTGTGTGACAGTGGAGCAATTCCAGCAAAGTCCTCATAAAGCAGGAGGAATCAATGGACTAAACAAAACATAAGAAGAGAGACAAACATGTAACTTTTATTGTTTATGTACAAATGACAGAAGTTTGTATTAAAAAGAGAATCTACCCAACCTCAAAGACAGCAAAGAGCAAGACGGCTTTGAGCTCCAGCCTTCCCTAAAAGCTCTGCATACATTTTAGGGGATGGTGTTGAAAATTAAAGTTATAGAAAAGGGTTTAACCACCATCTTCTCTCTGCATGAGTAAGAATCAAAATGAGCTTTTCCACACAATGAAGAACCTGTCACTCTACAAGGATCAAAACAAACAAACCAAAAGTCAATTTGTTAACTATACACTTTGGTTTAAAAAAACAAACAACAAAAGCAACAAGAAACCAAAACAAAACTACAAAACTAAGTATCAGCAACTGAAGTACTCTAAGTCTTACAACATGGGTGGGACATACTGAATCACAGCCCAGTTCCAGTGGAAAAAGAAATGCCTCTCCATGGGTTTGCAGGTGACAGGGGTGGCAGCAGCAAGATCCGCCAATTTTAGGCAGTTCCCGACTGAGGTGGAAGCACAGAATAGTCAGGAATTCAGAACTACTACTACTGCTCACCTTAGTCTTCCTGCAACTCAGGTGATCTAAAAATGATGCAAAGTACATGGTCCAAGATGTTCTCCCCCCATGTAAGTCCTTTGGAGTGAGCCCCTCCCACGTGCAGACCCTTGGCCAGAGCGCTGCCGTCCTGCTCACTCGGTCGACTGGCATTTTTCTCAGTGGGGATTCATGTAGACCTAAATCTCAGAAGCATCAGCACTGATGAGTCTAGTAGTCCTGCAGAGAAAGGAGAGGACAGGCACATTAAGATCTTTCTACCTTCAATTCTGCTTGCAGAGCTGGGATTCTCAGTCTTCTCTCATTTCTACATACCCTTAGTTGCAGGCAAACAGAAAAGATTATTTTTTTTTAATCTTGTATCTGAACACTCAAAAGAAAAGACCCTTGAGAACCCTAGAAATGAATAAACTCAACCAGATGCTTTTAACGTTCCAGATCATGACAAGGTAACGTGACACCAAACAGCTTTTTTCATAAAAACTGCAGAGGACTGAACTGTGACCTAGTTTCAAAACAAGCCTACCTGGCCTTATTTACTGTTAAAGCCACAAGACAATGCTTTTTTTCATACCATGATATTCCTCAACCATGAAAATAAGATCTTAAACTACAGCAGAGGGAGGCTTTTTTTTCAGATTAGGAGGCAGCCACTCAAGTCTATGGATGAGCAATGAAAACAAGGACAGAGCACTGATACTTACGGCTCTTGGCTTTTTGTTTAACTTGAGATCAATCCTGTGGTTGGAAAGATAAGAGAAATGTCCATTTCAATAAATTAAACCAAGACTAGAGTTCAAAGAACCAGCTACTGCATATGGCACAGGCTACAACAAAGACTATTTGGTTAATTCAATCCACATTCTCAATTCGGCTGAGCCAAATCACTGTCCCAGCATTACTGGACAAGAGCAAAAGAGGTGGAGAGTGGACTCTTTGTTACTTGCCAAAATGCATATTCTGTCCACTCAAATAAAGTTAATAAAGGTTCATAATAAAAATCACAGGGAAGTTATGCAGCATAAAGAAATAAGGTTAAATTCGCATGCTCTACATTAATTTGTTAGGTGTGTAACTATGCCACAGGTAATTATTCAGACATAGTGGAAATGGTTATTCACTTGGACTAGAGATAGGAGTTTAAGATGACAGGAATTACATGAATCAAAGGTACTGAGTTCATTACATTTTCCAGAAGGAAATAGCCAAGTCTAGACTAAACTCCTTAAGAAGCAAAGCCAGAAGAATCAGTTTTTAAACTACGTTTTTAAGTTAAAAAGTTTATCATCTAATTTAAAATAGAAATAGAAAGGCAGAGAAGAGTGAAGTTAATTTAATTTTGCTGAAGTTATTAAATAAAATGTTACCTCCATCACGCTTTTCTGTTTTTAAAAAAAACTTCCCAGCCTAACCTAATATACATACCTACAATTAAACAGATAAACTATGGGTTAGAAAGGTCTCAAAAGGCACATTGGTGTCTACACACTAACAACACAGCACAAGTACTAATTCAAGTCAAACTTACTCAAAGTCATAATCAAACATGCCAGACGGGCTGAGGGGCAGCATTTGAAAGGAAGAAAGCAATAGAAATTAATATACTAATGAATTAAATAAATTAGTTGATTAGCCACCCTAGCGAGATTACTAAAAAATAAAGTTTAAAAAAAAAATCAAGCCAGTGTTCAAATGCCATAAAGTTCTTAAGGGATCTTAACCAGAATTGGGCACAAAAAGCACCCAGACTGGGCCATCCAGAGTTCCCCCTCCCCGGCTGGATTTCTGGGAAGAAGAGGTGTTAGAACAGAGGGACCCCGAGGAGCTGGGCAAGGGGCTGTCAGTGCACGGTGACCCAATCCCTGGCAGCCCCAGGGCAGGTGGTCAGAAAGCAGCAGCTTTGGCTAAAGGATTAGGGCAAAGCAGAAGTGGTTCAGGCAGAGGAGACAGCACAGAACCGAGAGTCCGTCCGAGCACCCAGGGTTCCCCTGCGAGCAACACGTGTGCACACACACACACACACAGGTGTGCACACACACACACAGGTGCAGGTGTGCACACACAGGTGTGCACACACACACATGTGTGCACACACACACACACAGGTGTGCACACACACGCACAGGTGTGCACACATACACACACAGTGTGCACACATACACACACAGGTGTGCGCACACATACACACAGGTGTGCACACACACACACACACTGGTGTGCACACATACACATGCACACACACGTGCACACACAGAGACTCTCACTCCAGCTCTTCAGTGAGCTCAGGACACCACGGGCAGTGGCCACAGGCAGGGCCAGCCTGGTGACATTCCCACCCCCAGGCACAGCAGTCACAGCTCAGGCTGCCCGAGGAGCAGTTCTGCCCCACAGCCAACCACAGCATCACACCAGCTCTAACTCAGCAGTTTTTCAGCACCAAATTTCTACCAGGAAACAGTATTGTTTTCCCCCAAAATACTTTTTAGCCATGAGAATTGCTGAGCACACAGAAAATTATCATCTTGGCCTTCCTGTGGTCTCAGAGGGAGCAGAGGGTGACTTCAGTGCAGACTGTAGGTTCCATCTGATTCCGTTTTTTAACTGTTGGAAGTTAAACTCCCTGTTCACACCAGTTCTGCCCAGTTCAAATCCAGCTTTCCCCACTGCTCTCGGTGGCACATCCACTGGTGTCAGGGCACCCTCAGGCTGCCTGTTCCCAACACCTGCCAGTTCTTCAGGAACAGGCAAGTAGAACTTAAAACATCTGCTGGCAAATGGAAGAGCTTCTGAGCAAAAACACCAATATCTTGTAATTTTTCTCTTTCTCATTCCGTAGGACTCAGGGAAGGGGCAGGCAGGTCTCTCCTGAGAGCCCTCTGGGCTGCAGAGCCTCCTGCAGCACTGGGCTGCAGTGTCAGCAGACTGGGACTGCTTTGTTGTTTGCTTTTTAATCTTTGATATTCTTGAAATTTTTTTTGTCTTTTCTGCCAAAATTGAGAGAATAGTCAGTAATGACATTCACAATGTTAAACAGTGTTTTTATTACATACAAACTCAGCTGTCTTATTCTGATCATCTCCCTGGCCATGCCAAGCATCACAGAATGGTCACCTACCAACTGCAAAAGCCTTTCAGCAGCACAGAAGTGTCTGAGGTGTCTCAGGGTGACAAGAAGGCCCTACCCGACCAGAGCAGGGCTCCTCATGCCCAACACTGTCCCCGACAGCAGCAGGAACCCCAGAGCCACACAACCTGTCACTGGGGCAGGTTCTTCCTACCTCCTGTCACTAAAGTTGGTGTTATGGAAGGGAGCAAAAGAATATAAATGATTTCCAGCATTTGTATCAACCCGCTGCGCCCGCAGAGCCTGGTTTGCTGTCCCTGTAAGTGCTCAGTAGAATATTTTATAATCTGTTGGAAACAGCAGTTTCCTGAAGCTGTGCTTCAGTTTCACAGGTTGCTTCTCTGAGTTTGTTCACTGATGTAGCTTCTTGTGTTGTTCCTGAACTTCTTACCAATTGTCTACAGGCAAAAGGAGTTTTGAACTGCTTTGGATTCCCAACTCGGGAGGAACCAAAGTGACCTCAGTCCATCAGGACATCTGCCCAACTAGGGCTGCTGCAGGAAGAAAATCCTGATCTAAGAATTAAGGACATGCTAATGACTCAAAACCTACGAAGGAGAAAAAGCAGCTACACATTTCTCAAGTGCTATACCTACCTCCATATCTCCCAAACCAACCTTCCCCCCAGCAACCTTGGTAAATTTGTACTTTTCTTTAAAACTTCTCTCTCTTGCAGTGACAAGGTCCCTTCAAGAGGAAAGCCCACCTGTACACAAAGCCAACAGGCTCAGAGTTGGCACAAACACCTGATGTATAAAAGCTCCTTCACTTCTAATGATCTTTAGGTACCAGTTCCAGCAACCACTTCCAAAGAGGTGCAGCTCTGCAGAGTCTCCTCTTTCAGAGACAGGGATTTCCAGGTGTTCTTTTCTGCTCAGGGTCTGACTCCCCAGAGCACTGCCCTGCTCTGCAGAGATCCCTGGGCTGGGCAGAGGGGCAGGGACATGGGGAGGCAGCAGGTCCTGCTGGTCCCTGGGGAGCAGTGCCCAGGGGGGTGGGTCACTGCAGAGTTCTGAGCCACCAGCCCACAACACTAAGCTGGTCAGTTACATTAAACCATAAAGACCTCTGGAATCTTGGTTTTACATGAATTTCAGCTCAGTCTAATAATAAACCCTTGGAGGTTAATGTGACAAAGCAACTCTTCAGCACCATAATCCAGAGACTCAGTCTGGGCCATGACTGCTGAAAGGGCCTAGAGTGGAAATCTTAGGGAAGTGCCCACAACCCCAAAACATTCCAATCTGCTGGCTCAACACCCTCCTCCAAGGACAGCACTGACACTCCTATCTTACTGGGTCCTGCAGAAACCAAGCAGCAAGCACAGGAGATCATGACTGCAATCCTCAGGGCCTGACACACCAGGGGCAACAGGGTCCTGGGGAATGCTACAGGGTGTGTACAAATAAAAACCAGAGAAACGACCAAAACAAGTGACCTGAGCTGCTCATTATTCCATCAAGTCTCTAGTTCTTTGCACACAATGAAGTAAATCCAACAGGTGCTTCAGCATCAGGGGGCACAAGAGGCTGCTGGTACCACTAACCTGTGTCGATTTTTGTTCTTCCGTTTTTTGTGGCTGCTGTGGTGGCTCCCAGAAGAAGTAGAGGAAGCAGCTTTCTGGGGTTTTACCCCCTGCACAGACCCATCCAGCTCCTCTGCATCCTCCTGGCTGGGCTCATTCTCTTGATTGTGGAAGTCTGGAGAAGTGTCACTTTCTGTGCCACTGCCGGGCTCCCCTAGAGCAGGACAAAGAGCGGAGCAGAGGGGTCACCTCCCTGCAGCCCCCCAGGCTGCCCTGTGGGGCAGATGTGGCCCCACCAGCAGGACTTGGGAGAAGCAGGGGGCACCCGAGGGCACCTGGAAGTAAACAAGGACCTGAGAGACCTTTCTGAAGGACTGCAAGCTCCTTCCTCAGCAAGTGAAGCACATGGGAATTGCATCTGATTTGGGACTGATTACAAAAATTTTTTCAAAACCCTGAGGGTACCTGGCTCCTCCCCATCAGCTGTCACTGACAAACACAAACTCATTCCCTCAGCTCTTCCAGCCTCTTTCTCCAAAGAGCACCAAACCCATTGCAATAAGCTTTATGAGCTTTATGCACAATAAACCCTTGCTGAGCATAAAAGTTAACTTTATTATTTAACTATTTATAAAAGCTCGACTTTACTTCTGTTTCCTCCAGTGCTCCTGGGCTCAGTGCTGCAGCCACGGGCTGTGCTGGGACCGACCCAGGACACTGGGAACAGCTGGGCTGTGGGGAGAGGTGCAGCTTCCTCCAAACTCTGAGAGAAATGAAGAAGTGACTTACGCTTCTCAATGAGCTGGTCCTGAACTCCAGCTAGTGCACTGACAGCCTAGAAAATCAAAAGGGATGTTAATGAGCAGGAACTCACTGACCACTGTTCAAACGGTCTGGAGATCAGACAGGCCCTGGGCGGGGCTGCGGGCCGGGCCCGCACTCACCGCGGCCGAGGTGACCGAGGACTTGCTGAAGAGCCGCTCGGCCTCCTTGAACTTGCGGTTCCTCCGGTCGTTTTTGCTGTTGGAGTTCCTGGAACAGACAGAGGCAACATCGCGGGGGCCCGGGCAGCGCCGGGCGGGGCGGGGCGGGCAGGGACTCACTTCTGGTTGGTGAGGTAGCGGTCCCAGCCGCGGATGATGTTCCCGTACATCTGCGTGTCCTCCAGGTAGCTGCCCTCGAAGGCGTAGATCTG